CTTAGGACCATTTGCTTGAAAAATTGTTTTCCAGCCTTTTACTCTAAGGTAGTGTGTCTGTCTTTGTCACTGAGGTGGGTTTCCTGTATGCAGCAAAATGCTGGGTCCTGTTTACATATCCAGTCCGTTAGCCTATGTCTTTTTATTGGAGAATTGAGTCCATTGATGTTAAGAGATATTAAGGAACAGTGATTGTTGCTTCCTGTTATTTTTGTTATTAGAGGTGGAATTATCTTTTTTTTTATCCAAAGGCTTATTATATTTGGTAATGATCAGTAACAAGATGCCCATACAATCAGAAGTGTAACCCAATACCCAACCTAGATATACCAACTACCTTTGACTACTACAGACACGTGAACATCTGCCTCCATCTCTCTCATTCCTCTCTCGAGGTGGAATTATCTTTGTGTGGCTATCTTCTTTTGGATTTGTTGAAAGAGTATTACTTTCTTGCTCTTTCTAGGGTATAATTTCCCTCCTTGTATTGGAGCTTTCCGGCCATTATCCTTTGTAATGCTGGGTTTGTGGAAAGATATTATGTAAATTTGGATTTGTCATGGAATATCTTGGTTTCTCCATCTATGGTAACTGAGAGTTTTACTGGGTATAATAGCCTGGGCTGGCATTTGTGTTCTCTTAGGGTCTGTATGATGTCAGTCCAGGATCTTCTCGATTTTATAGTATCTGGTGAGAAGTCTGATGTAATTCTGATAGGTCTGCCTTTATATGCTACTTGGCATTTTCCCCTTACTGCTTTTAATATTCTTTCTTTGTTTTGTGCATTTGGTGTTTTGATTATTATGTGATGGGAGGTATTTCTTTTCTGGTCTAGTCTATTTGGAGTTCTGTGGGCTTCTTGTATGTTTATGGGCCTTTCTTTCTTTCTTTCTTTTTTTTTTTTTTTTTTTTTTTTTTTTTTTTTTTTCGAGACAGGGTTTCTCTGTACAGCCCTGGCTGTCCTGGAACTCACTCTGTAGACCAGGCTGGCCTCGAACTCAGAAATCTGCCTGCCTCTGCCTCCCGAGTGCTGGGATTACAGGCATGCGCCACCACCGCCCCGGCTGGGCATTTCTTTAGGTTAGGGAAGTTTTCTTCTATAATTTTGTTGAAGATACTTATTGGCCCTTTAAGTTGGGAATCTTCACTCTCTTCTATACCTATTATCCTTAGGTTTGGTCTTCTCATTGTGTCCTGGATTTCCTGGATGTATTGTGTTAAGAACTTTGTGCATTTTGCATTTTCTTTGGCAGCTGTGTCAATATTTTCTATGGCATCTTCTGCACCTGAGATTCTCTCTTCTATCTCTTATATTCTGTTGGTGATGCTTGCATCTATGACTCCTGATTTTTTTCCTAGGTTTTCTCTCTCCAGGGTAGTCTCCCTTTGTGATTTCTTTATTGTTTCTACTTCCACTTTTATGTCCTGGATGGTTTTGTTCAATTCCTTCACCTGTTTGGTTGTGTTCTCTTGTAATTCTTCAAGGGATTTTTGTGTTTCCTCCTTAAGGGCTTCTATCTGTTTACCTGTGTTCTCCTCAAGTTCTTTGAGAGTGTTAAATTTATGTCCTTCTTAAAGTCCTCTATCATCACCATTAGAAGTAATTTTAAATCTAAATCTTGCTTTCCTGTTGATATTGGGAATTCAGGACTTTCTAGTGTGGGAGAACTAGGTTCTAATGATGCCAAGTACCCTGGGTTGCTGATGCTTATGTTCTGCTTGCCTTTCGCCATCTGGATCTCATTAGTGCTACCAGCGCTGTCTCTTACTGGAGCCTGTCTTTCCTATTATCTTGGTTGTTTCAGAACTGTGTAGGGTGGGTGTTACTACTGGGGTTAGAGCTGGGGCCCAAGATCTGCTCAGTGCTCGGGTGCAGACAGGAAGGAACCAGTGCTCCCGGCCAGGAGTGAATCCTGGGTCCCTGTGGGTCCCAGTTACTCCCTGTTTGGCGGGTATTGCTGTCTCCTTACCTAAGATACTGCCCAGGTTAGAGCTCCTGGGAGGCCTGCTTCCTCTGGGATTTGTGAAATTGGGTGCAGAGCTGCCACCTGGGATCTGCTCAGTGCTTGGGCCCAGACTGGAAGGACCTATATAAATTCTTTAACTTGGGATTTTGAATGTCATTGCTTTCATTTATAGTTATAGATTTATCCTGAAATTGTTTTGTTTTTATTTTTTCTTTTTCTTTCTTCCTTTCCTTCCTTCCTTCTTTTTTTTGTTTTTTGTTTTTTCGAGACAGGGTTTCTCTGTGTAGCCCTGGCTATCCTGGAACTCACTCTGTAGACCAGGCTGGCGTCGAACTCAGAAATCCGCCTGCCTCTGCCTCCCAAGTGCTGGGATTAAAGGCGTGCGCCACCACTGCCCGGCTGCTTTCATTTTTTATAGAGTCGAATAATCCAGCAAAAACTTGAAGATGTTTGGACTATTTATCTACTATAGCAATTTTTTAAAAAGATTTATTTTTTATGTGTGTGAGTAACTATCACCGTCTTCAGACACACCAGAACAGGGCATCAGATCCCATTACAGATGGTTGTGAGCCACCATGTGGTTGCTGGGAATTAAACTCAGGACCTTTGGAGGAGCAGTCAGTACTCTTAACCACTGAGCCATCTCACCAGCCCTCCTCTAGCAAATTTTATGACGAGTTTTCGTCATCTTGGTGGGGCATCTGTCAGAATGACCTGAAAATAAAGTTTTTATCCTCCTAAACCCGTACAGCTTCTGACATCGGCGTGTAGGATGACAGGGATATTGATCGTGACTATCAAGTTCATCTTCCTCCATGATGCAGACAACGAAAACACCTGGCTTTGATCAAATTTCCATCAACCCGACAAGAGTGGTTACACACATTGGAGCCCTGAAGAACCTGGTCCTTCCTCATTTCTAAACACACACTGAGTTGGGGGCGGGAGGGCGTGGCTCAGTGGCTCACTCGTCTATCATGTGGAGGTTCTGTCTTCCAGCATCCAGAAATAAGTGAATCTAAGCCAAACAGAGAGGAAGTCAGTCTACAGAGCTGTCCAGGAGACCGTTTTTCAGTTACAGTCAGACCACATAAATAGAAAGCCTTTCTGGGCCATTCAGGATCTAAATTTTTGTGTTTGTTTATTTTGCTTCCCTCTCTCCTCTCCTCCCAGTCCTTATTCCTATCCCCTCCCCCCCATCCACTCCTCCTCCCTTTCTCCTCAAACAAGGGCAGGCCTCCCGTGGATATCAATCCGCCTCCACACATCAAATTGCAGTAGGACTAGGGGCATCTTCTCCTCTTGTAGCTAGACAAGGCACCCAGCTAGGAGAAAGGGATTCAAAGGCGGTCAACAGAGTCAGAGACAGCCCCTGCTCCTGCTGTTAGGAGCCCTGCATGAAGACCCAGCTGCGCAACTGTTACAGATGTGCAGAGGGCCCAGGTCTGTCCCATGCAAGCTCTCCGGTTAGTGGTTCGGTCTCTGTGGACCCCTATAGTCTCAGGTTAGTTGATTCTGTTGGTTTTCTTGTGGGGATTTAAATATTTTTAAATGATATTTATCATCATACCTGCAGTACACTAATATTAGAGAAGAAACAAAAAACACATGCATCTTGTCCAGCTGAGAGTAGACGAGTGGAGAAAGCAAAAATAACTAGACAACATCGTGAGAGCAAAACTAGTGGGGTGAAGTAGAGCCACTCGTGAGACAGCTCCCCAGGGAACGCGTCCCTCTGATGGACCCGGACCGAGTCCCTTCCGATAGCTCCCCAGGGAACGCATCCCCTTCCCTTGGCTTTTCTTCTCCCATAACTCAGCCACTTCGGCTACATGCACTCTTGCTTCCCGTGTGCTCTCTTGATCCTCCTGGCTCTCTCTCTCTCTCTCTCTCTCTCTCTCTCTCTCTCTCTCTCTCTCGCTAACTCTGCTGGTCACGTTCAGTCTGGACTCTTCGAGACGCCTTTGGCTACACTGTCTCTCATATCTATCTCCTCGACCATACACCAACACAGGGCATCACGTCCTCATTTTCATCAACCTCGACATTTGGATTTTCTATTAAAAAAATAACCCCACATCTCTGTAGCAGTCTTCAGACATATCATTAAAGGACATTGCATTCTATGACAGATGGTTGTGAGTCACCATGTGGTTGCTGGGAATTGAACTCAAGACCTCTGGAAGAGCAGCCAGGGTTCTTAACCATTGATTCATCTCTCTAGCCCCCATCAAGATTTCTTAATAATAAATAACCTTTTCCACTTTTTTTTAAAAAAAGATCACATGGATCACTCATGTGCACAGAGCCACACACAGACACACATACATATACATAATTTAAATAAACACTCTGCCGGGCAGTGGCGGCGCATGCCTTTAATCCCAGCATTTGGGAGGTAGAGGCAGGCGGATTTCTTAGTTTGAGTCCAGCCTGGTCTACAGAGTGAGTTCCAGGACAGCCAGGGCTACACAGAGAAACCCTGTCTCGAAAAACCAAAAACAAAAAAAAAAAGAAAAGAAAAGAAACTTGTTCGAAAGACTGTGACTTAACCTCTCAGACTGACAAAGCTTTGCTTCAGGTGACTCGTCCATGCTTCTCCAGTCCCTTCTGCTTCTTCACATTGTCCCTAGAGCGGCTCTGGATGGTGGTCGCTGTGTGTGTGAAGCCTGTGGACTAGGCCTGTGGACTAGGGGCGAGCTCGGTAGCCCAGACTGTGTTACGTAGTCTCAGGAGGAAGTCCACGTGGGTTGCAGCTCACCTCCAGCTCGCGCGTGCACCTGTCTTCATTGCCAACATTCCTGAGAGCCGCAGATGCCATTTCTTGTGTCACTGACACAAGCCCCTGCCGGGAAAAGCAACCTGTCCCTGTCCTGGGTGGGAGTCCTTCCTGAGCCTGCTCCGCAGGCTCCCTCGGGGACAGTCAGTGAGGCCTCAGTGTGCGTGTGAGCATCGATCGGCTCGCTGGTTTTAGCGACAGTCCGCCGTGTCGGCGTTCCGTCACGTCGGGGAGACGACAGCCACTGATGTCTTCTGAGACAAATTCGCTGTTTGCACAGGTGGAACCGGAGCCAGAGGAACTGGCTTCCAGAGCAGAGTGGGGTCTGTGGGCTGAGAGTGAGGATAGGAAAGAGCGAAGAGGGAGGGACAGAGAAGAGAGAGGAGAGAGGAAAGAAGAGAGAGAGATCTCCCCGGGCCCAGTCCTTGTCCTTCATCGCTGTCTTGGTTAGTAAACTATTTATTTCTGCCACTGTCCCCGCGCCCAGCTGGGTCCCTTGCTGCAGGACACGATCACCTGGAAACGCCGGTAGGCGTCCTCTAGCAGCGCCACCCAGCGGTCAGCGCAGAAGCTGCGGGGGCGTGGCCTGTGACGTCAGGGTGGGCGTAACCTGCCCCGGAAGCGGGCGCTGAGGACCAGGGAGCGGGGACATGGAGGCACCCGGGGTGCTGCTGGTGATGGGCGTGAGCGGCTCCGGGAAGTAGGTCGTGGGGGCGGCGGGCGGGCGGGAGCTGGGAGGCTGCGGGGGCCCTGAGCCCTGGGAGCCATGCCTTTGCCTCCTCTGCCCGGCTGGCAGCTCCCCAGGCTCTGCCTGCGACGGCGGCTAGCGACCCCTCTCAGCCTTCAGCCTTACAAACCTGGGCCCGGTGACATCTTGCAGAACATGGTGGGAGGGTGCGAACCCCAAACCAAGAGGCAAAAAACCCTCGCCCTGGGTCTTTACAAAGCTTTGCCTGGGCGGATGGTCTCCCTCTTAGGTGAGTTTCTGGATTTTTCTAAATAGGTTTTGAAAAGTGAGAGCGAGCCTTGATCGTGTTTCTGCTTAGGCTGGAATGCTTCTGTGGAAAGTGCTTGATAGAACTCTGCAAAACATGCATTTCCTTCTCAGCCCAGTGCCGGGAGGTTCAGAAGTAAGCAAGCGACAGGCACTTGGTTTGATAGACGCCGTCTAACTGGGAGATTCTTTAAACTGAAAGTGAAATGGAACACAGTAACTCGGTGGTGGAGTGTTCGATTGTCGTGCCGGGGGTCAATTCCTGCACCACAGAATGAACAGAGGCGAAAACCCCGCTGTTGTACAGCTGGGAAGCCCGTCCACTGTGTTCACAGTCTCTCCCCAGAAACCCTTTCTCTTCAGTCCAGAACCGCACCTAGTCCATAGTAAGTGCTCAGATTGTCTTTGTGGTAGAGACCGGAAGGACAAGCCTGAGAGAGTATTACCGGTGCTCGTTTTCTGACGGAGTGGCTGGACTGGACTGATTTGGAAACAGTTCAGGGGCTGGGGACTCGATGAAGGCGCTGAATGAGAACTCAGTTGAGTGACAGGCACTGCAGGGTGAAAAACTAAGGGGAGCTCTGCAGGAGAGATGGAGGAGGGTGTCGATGGGTCTATCTCTGCTCCTGCTGGTGTGTCTTTTATGTCAACGGGTTTTTGACTACATGTTTGTCCGAGTACCACAAGGATACAATGTACAAGGTGGCCAGAAGAGGGCATCAGAGTCCCTGCGATAGGAGTTCCATACAGATGGTTGCAAGCTGCCTTGTGAGTTCTGGGAACCAAACCCAGAGCCAAGCCCCTGGAAGAGCAGCCAATGCTCTAACTGCTGAGTCACCTTTCCAGCATTGAGTGTATCTGGGAGACTAACGGGGTTTTGAAGTGTTTATGGGCCCCCAAACTTTACACAGTGTGTTGGCATTTAAACATTTTATTAAGCCCCTGTCATTGGATGTATCAACCACACTTCAGGGCAGGCCCCATGCCCAGGAGTAGTTGGCCAACACAAAACAAATCGATAGTATTTTTTAAAACAAACAAACAAACAAACAAACAAGCAAACAAAACCCTCTTGAATCTTTGATAAAAGTACAATTTTCTTCATTCAATGTTCTTTCTCGAAAGATAAACATCTGTACAGTACGGACTAAAACATTCTCTCTTGTTGTTTTTGGTTGGTTGGTTGGTTAGTTGATTTGGTTTGGTTTTTCAAGACAGGTTTTCTCTGTGTTAACAGAATCCTGGCTGTCCTGGACTCACATAGTAGACTAAGTTGGCCTCGAACTCAGAGATCCAACTGCCTCTGCTTCCTAGTGCTGGGACTAAAAGTCATGCAGCCACCACACCTGGCTATTTTTGGGTTTTGAGTCAGCATCTCCATGTCCTATCCAACTGGCCTAGAACCAACTGTCCACGTTCCTGCCTTCACTCCTTATGTCTACCACAAAGCTACAAAATGCTGATTACCGAGAAACAACCTTACACTGGTGTGTGTGTGTGTGTGTGTGTGTGTGTGTGTGTGTGTAGGGAATTGTTTTTCCAGACAGTGGCTACATAAGACAGCCTGTGTGGGCCAGAGGTCTCCTTACAGAGATTGTCCTGCCTTTACCTCCAAGTGTTGGGATATCGGGTACGTGTCACCACCCCTGGCTCAGAGTTTTAGTTAGATATGATACATTGCTTTCTGGCTAACACACCTTCACTGGTATTCCTAAGGACAGTGAAGGCCATCTCTAGACTCCATAGCTAAGGGCATGACTGCTCTAGGACCACAGAGGGGCCTGCTTCTTAGTACCAGCTGTGACCGATATGCATCTCTCAGGCACTCTATCAGAATAGCTGTCACTCACACGTGTTGGGCAGAAATAGCATCACCTGTATTCTCTCCACAGATCCACTGTGGGTGCACTGCTGGCCTCCAAGGTAACTACCCTCACCCACTGTGTTCTTATCCATGGCTTCCTCCCTTTCCTTTGGCCTATGTTTGTGCAGATACCTCAACATGGAATCCAGGTTTCTTCCTGGTAGTGAAAAATCAGAGTTGTCAGTGAGAGAGGGGCAGTCTCAGACCAGTTATGTCTACATCTACCTGCCAAGAAGCTCCCGGTGCCTGTCACAAGGGTCATCTTGCTGACGCTACATATCTTTCCTTTTGTTCCTAAAGCTGGGGTGGAAATTCTATGATGCCGACGATTACCACTCCGAGGAGAATCGGATAAAGATGGGGAAAGGGGTGCCACTGAGCGACCAGGTAACATTGGCTACGGGTGTCCAATATCTCTGTAACACGCCTCCACATCTGTTAGCCTAGAACCAGAACTTCCTCCGTGAATTCTGCCCCAGGAGTGAACCACCTCTGCCCTCCCTGGGTGCAGCCTGCCACAGCTTTTTGCGGGGGCGGGGGGTTAATCTTCAGTCCTCGAGTGGGCAGAGGCTCCCTTGTGCTCGTACAGGGAAGTTAGTGCCTCCCGGGTCCTTTCACCTCCTCAATACCACCAAGTTCTGGTGAATCCCACTCCAGGACAACAGCGATTATGGAAACTCCAGTGCGGCTGTGGGTCTTTGTTACTCTTCTGTTGCTGTGCTATAAAGCACGGCCAAGGCATCTCATAAAAAGAAAACATTAATTGGACTTATGGTTTCAGAGGGTTAGAATCCATGACGGTAGAGCATGGCACGGCAGCAGGGACAGCTTAGATTTTACATATCGATCTGAGACAGGAGGCAGAGAGCACGCTGGGAATGCACAAGTCTTCTGATACCTCAATTCCTGCGCCCAAGGACACACCTCCTCCAGGAAGATCACGCCTCTTAATCCTTCCCCAAAACTTTCATCAACCGGGAAACCAAGTAGTCAAACATCTGAGCCTATGGGGTCCGTTCTCACTCCAACCACCACACCACGTCACCATGTCTGAGACTCTCCCGGAGTGTAACTGATCTCAAGGTGGCTGAGTCTCTTTTAGAAATGTCAGATACTCCATCTCCATCGGAGCCAATCAGCCCCTTGGCCCCGCCCATCTCCATCGGAGCCAATCAGCCACTTAGTCCCACCCACCTCCATGTCCATCGGAACCAATCAGCCCCTTAGTCACTGTGTTCCTCCTTTTTGTGTCCACTGTCCCACTGCTCTCCAGAATGTGTTTCCTCCTTCATGACTGACCAATGTTCATCTTAATATCTCAGCTCCTGGGCCACTCCTTGGGGAGCCTACTCAGAGGCTGTACTTCCCCTGTTGAACTGAAGGTCTTGATAATCCGCCAAAAAGTAAGGCTTTCCGACAGTGAATTTGAGCTGTTTAGATGCTGTGGTGGTTTGTATATGCTTGGCCCAGGGAGTGGCACTATTAGGAAGTGTGGCCTTGTTGGAGTAGGTGTGTCACTGTGGGCGTGGACTTTAAGACTCTCATCCTAGCTGCCTGGAAGACAATCTTTTCCTGTTAGTCTCCAGAACCAGATTTAGAACTCTCAGCTCCTCCTGCACCATGCCTGCCTGGGCACTGCTGTGCTCACTTACCTTGATGATAATGGACTGAACCTCTGAACCTGTAAGTCAGCACCAATTAAATGTTGTCCCAAGAGTTGCCTTGGTCATGGTGTCTGTTCACAGCGGTAAAACCCTAGCCAAGACACATGCAAAAAAAGGAGTGGGGAGTGGGGGTGTTGGGAGTGTGGAGGTGTGGGGTGGCAACACCTCTACAGAACCCCAGGAAAGGAAGTAGAACTTTTTTGGCGACATTGGAACTTCAAGCTTGAGTCCCCTTCTGCTACACAGCCGCAGGAGCTGCTTTAGAGAATACACCTGAGAGGCTAGAGAGGTGGCTCAGTGCTTAAGAGCTCTGGCTGGCTTTGGCTGCTCTTGCAGAGGTCTGGGGTTCTGTTCTCAGCACCCACAGGGCTCTCACAGCTGCCTGGAACTCCAGTTCCAGGGGATTCCTCAGCCCTCTTCCCACTCAGCGAGCACTGCAAGCATTCAGTATCCTTAGATAACACGCCGGCAAAACAAAAACATAAAAGAAAACAAAACTTAAAAAGGAAAACATAAGCCGGGCGGTAGTGGCGCATGCCTTTAATCCCAGCACTTGGGAGGCAGAGGCAGGCGGATTTCTGAGTTCGAGGCCAGCCTGGTCTACAGAGTGAGTTCCAGGACAGCCAGGGCTACACAGAAAAACCCTGTTTCGAAAAAAACAAAAAACAAAAAACAAAAAAAAAAAAAAAAGGAAAACATATATACAAGAAGTTAAAAGATTTCTAATAATAGTATCATCTTTCTAATCTCTTTTCATGCTTGCATGTGGTAGGAAACCTTGGCTCACCAGAGTCGCTTTGGGAGACAAATTCAAATGGTGCATTAAGACATTAAGTCCAGGCTGGGGTAGAACTCAGCTGCAGATCAAGTGCTTAGCTGTAGCTTCTGATCAGACACATTGAAAGAATCTATCAGCCACAGTAAGAGGTGTGTGCATGAAAGACAGGACGTCTGTGCCACTCGGGGGCTGGAGGGGGTATTAAATATTGTAACTTAAGGGGATTTATAGTATTATGGAAGGATTCATCTGCACCAGGACCAAGAAAACGTTTCTGTGGTTGAAGGCCTATGACCTGCCCCGCCCCCGGCCTGCCCCGCCCCCAGCCTGTTCATGCCCAGTTCTCTTAACTACTGAGATCTCTTTGAAGCTGACTGTTGTGACTGTGGTACAAGCAGTACTGGGGAAGCTACTCTGAGTCTGTTCTAATTTCAGGACAGGATTCCATGGCTTTGCAGCTTGCACGACATTTTACTAAGGTATGACGTCATGCCCGCCCGTGGTATAATCCAGTAAATTAAAAAGATCACTTCTGAAACCACAACTGGATGCATCCATCAGGGTGGAGACAAACACTTAGCGCTTGCGCATACCAGGTACCCAGACAACTTCTGTCCTCAGGTCAGCTCTGAATGGGCCCATTTTACAGGTGAGGCGCTGATGCCTGGGGACATAACATTGGATCCCAAGACTATTCAGATCCTCAGTTTAAGACTGCTTAACGCCCACTGCTTAATCTCCGTTTTCAAGTAGCACTTTACATCGGCAGAGACAAGCTATTGACACCTATAACTGACAACCTTTACATGGTTTCATTCTTCTGTCCTTATCTTTTTTCGGGGGGGCGGGGGGGTATGTGTTTTCTTATATTTTGAAAACAGAGATGTGGCTTTGGGACAGCCCGTCGTTCTAGCCTGTTCAGCTCTGAAGAAAATGTACAGAGACATCTTGATCCGAGGAGGAAGCGATGCGCCTCTGAAAGGCGATGACTCGGCGAAGGAGGAACCGCTGGCTGGCGGGCAGCTCCTGGTGGTCTACCTCTGCGGGTCATTTGACGTCATTTATGAACGCTTGCTCCAAAGAAAAGGACATTTTATGCCGCCCGAGTTACTACAGTCACAGTTCAGTATTCTGGAGCCCCCATCAGCTCCCGAAAACTTCATCCAAATCAGTGTGGACAAAGGTCTCCCGGAGATCACTGCTGCCGTTATGGAAGCCCTCAGATGAAGTATTGTTTCCAAGCTCCTCACCCATGGTGTCTTCTAAATTCTTTGTTTTAGAGACAGGGTTTCTCTGTGTAGACAAGGCTGGTCTGGAACTCAGAGATCTACCTGTCTCTGACACCTCCCTTCCCCCCAGGGCTGGGATTAAAGGCATGCACCACCATCGGGCTGTATTGTAAATTCTTAATTGGGAACAAACCGCAGTTCGTGGAGGTGGGGTAGTTGTTTGACTGTATTGGGAGTTTGTGGTGTGCTTGGCAGTGTGCAGCTGTGGCAGGACAAGGGGAGGATGTTAAAAGTTAAAAACAGGCTGGAGAGATAGCTCAGTGGTTAAACGCACTGACTACTCTTCCAGAGGTCCTGAGTTCAATTCCCAGCAACCACATGGTGGCTCACAACCATCTGTAATGGGATCTGATGCCCTCTTCTGGTGTCTGAAGACAGCTGCAGTGTGCTCATAGACATAAATAAATAAATCTTTTTTTTTAAATGTTAAAAAGTAAAGTTTAACTCCATGTACAATGTAACCAGATAGAAATAAATAAATCTTTTTTTTAAATGTTAAAAAGTGAAGTTTAACTCCATGTACAATGTAACCAGATAGAGAAAATTCTGTAATCAATGCTACAACTTACTGTCTTTCAAAAGAACAATCGACTCTTGCCTGTATGTGTACAAAAGAATGAAATTTGCTCTCCTGGAAACTGGTTTCTTCCATAGAAACCTGAACAGACCCGAGCCACCCACTGCATGCCACACTGCCAAGTACAGTGGCGACTGCTTTTAAATATTTTACGTTAGCATACAAAATCACAGGCCTTGTCCTCTGCCCTTTGCTATCTATAATCTCATTTATTCATTGTCATTGTTATTAGTGGGTTGTTGAGACAGGTTGGCCTCAAAGTCAGACAGTTGCCTCTTTCTGCCACTTCAGTGCTGGATTAAAGGCTAGTCCCACCATAAATGGCTTCATTTTCATACATCTGTCTTTATTCTAATCTGTCTGTCTCCCTCCCTCCCTTCCCCCACCCTGCATCTCCTGCTCCTCTCTGCCTGGTTCTCTTCTTTTCCCCAGAAGGCCATCTTCCTACACTCAGGGCTCCCACCCTTTTCTTTAGACCTTTTCCTACACACACACACACACACACACACACACACACCCTATATGTATATATAAGTGTATATATAAGTTTAGAACCAGCTTGGGAAAGAAAGGGGTCTTTTCACAACTACCCAAAACGTCACTGAATATACACACATTTAACTGTTGATGGACATCTCAGGCTGGCTCCATTTCCTGATAGGGCTACAAGCAGCTGCCCAGCTAACGGAAGCAAAGGGTTGTTGTTTGGTTGAGTGATGAGTGTGATGGGTTGTCTTGTCAACCTGATGGGAGTTAGAATCACCATGGGGAAAGATCATGAGGGCTTTTCTTTTTTTTTTTTTTTGGTTTTTCGAGACAGGATTTCTCTGTGTAGCCCAGGCTGTCCTGGAACTCACTCTGTAGACCAGGCTGGTCTCGAACTCAGAAATCTGCCTGCCTCTGCCTCCCAAGTGCTGGGATTAAAGGCGTGCGCCACCACCATCCGGCGCTTTTCTCCTTTTTAAAATCATCTTTGTGTCTTTTGAGACAGTGTGTCTGTTGTGTCCGCTCTCCTGGAACTCGTTATATAGACCAGGCTGGCTTCAAGCTCATAGAATATAAGACTTAAAGTGTGTGTTACCATACCCCGTGAGGGATTTTTTTTTAATGGGTTTAACGGATGTGGAAAGACACACCCCAGTGTGGACTTGGGTCCACCCAAGTGTAGCACCCGTGGACTTGGGTCCTACGCTGAGTGGAAAGGATTCCATGAGCTGAGTCCAGGCTCCACTGTCTGTGGAAGCTGTGTGACCAGCCACTCTGAGTCCTTGCACGATGGAGTATATCCTGTCAAATTGTAAAGCCATTATTAGAAGGCTGCTCACTCTTCCTCAGGCTGCTGCTTGCCAAGCGCTTGGTCACAGCAAGAAGGAAAGCGACCGTACATCCTGTGGGAACATGAAGCCTTTGCTCTCCTTTGCTTCATGTTATTTGGGACGTGTCCTACCTGGTTTCAGACTTGACACCTTGTATTCTCAAATGAGGCTAAAAGACTTCCTTACATGGTCGAGGTGTGGTCATGCTTACCTTTAATCCCAGCATTCCAGAGACAGCTGGATCTCTGTGAGCTCAAGGCCAACCAGGCCTACATACATACTGAGTTCCAGGCAAGCCCAGAGCTACATAGTGAGACCTTGTCTCAAGATAACAGCAAATAAATAAAAATAAGAGTTCCCCACAGTGGGTGGTAGAGGAAGAAGCCAGCAAAGCAAGTGTGTTTGCTGAGTCACATCTAAAACATGTGCTCTGGAGGGTTGGAGGATTACAACTCAAATCTGTCTGTGGTTCTTAGATGGCTCCACTAGAGAAGGGGGAGAGACAGCCTACCTTGTATTCTCAGGCTAGAGTCCTCACGAGGAAGGAAGGGCATGGCAGGAGCCTTGACACTTGAGTCTAGATCTGTTGAAAGATAAAGTCCCTGGTAGACTATTCCCTTCTGGTGATAGAACTGAAGGCACGTCTGGATTAGACTTGGACCAGCCCAGCCCAGATGTGCCAAAGCAGGAAATGGAAAGTGTTAGGATTCGAGCGCAGTTTGGACAGACAACACCAAAGCCGATCCGATCCGGTTCCAAGGGAAGGGGTTTATTTGGGGAAGGGAGTGGGAGAGAGGAACGGGAAGATGGCGAGTGAAGAGAAGACGAAGAGAGAGAGAGAGAGGTTGGGGGTGGTCCCAACTATTTAAGTGGGTGATGACGTGTGTAATTTCCCAGGTGTAGGTGAGTCAGGTAGGTGAATTCTGGGAGTGGTTGTCCCAGCAACGTAGGAGTCGCAGGCCCCTGAATATGACGTCACCGGGTTCAGACTTATACTAACAGAAAGGAAGAGAAAGGCAGGGAGCCTTTCGACCCCTAATGCACTTTAGAATCGGTGTCTCAGGGCAGCAGACACAGCTCAGCGTAGAACACTTCACTAGCATGTGCAAGGCCCCATGTCTGACCCCAGCACTGCAAACACCACCACTGCAAACTGCCTTTTGCAGCCTGTGTACCTAACCATCTTGACCAGGGTGCTCTGAGAGCCTTGCATATGTGCAGAGCAGCCTGGTCCAGAACCCTGTGTAGTTTGTGTACACTATCACTAAAAGAAAGCATCAGAAAGATTTCATTATGGTGAAGTCCAGAGCTAGTGAACTTCTGACCAGGCAAAGACCCACTGACACAAAACTTCACAGATGAGAAGCAACCTTTGCCGTGATGTTCCTGGCTGGTGACCGGGTGGAATTTACAGAAAATAGCTGTTATTTGGACAAGATCAGAGGAGAATGGAGCATAGAAAGGGGTGGGGTGATCTGAGTTTAGGTAAGCCGGGCTTGCTGGGACAGAAAAGGATAATTTGTTTACTGTGGAGAGCTCTTGGTGCTGCCCTCTAGGAATTTGGCATGAGTTTGACATTGGACTAGGACAAGGAAGTAGGCTCAGGATGAATACAGCCTAGGAATGTGTTGTATTCCTTCTATCTTGGTCATCCTGATAAAGCCCTAGACACAGTGACCATGGGACCTTGTTTATTGCCTTGTTTGTTCCTTGACTACTTTGCCTTTGACCTAGAACTAACCCTATTCTTTTCATGTACCTAGAATGATATAAAAGTAGTCTGGAAAAAAAAAAAAACTAAACCGGCTTCAGCCTCAGCCCTGGCTGCAGTCTTGTTACAATGTTGTCTAATTGTCTTTTCTTTCTTTACTCCTCCCTCCCTCCCTCAAGCCCCTGTTGACTGACTGTTGACTGACTCTGGGATTTGTCAGTTTAAAGCCATTTTAACAAGGCCTTGGGCCACTCTGCTCTCAAGGAGGCTGAGAGTCAGAGTAACAAAGGGGAGTCTGTGGTCCAAGGAGAGAAAGTGCATTGGGAATCAACAGGCAGAGCGGGCAGAACAGAAAGGCTACGGAGGGCATAGTCAGAAATGGCCTGCAGTACCAACCTGAGCTTTTCCGGCTGGGGTTTCTCTTTGCCACTGACAACAACTCTTCCTATAGTGTGTGGTGACTCAGTCTGTGTGGCCGCCAGGCTTTGAAGACGCAGTGCCCCCGTACCTCGAGTGCTATACAGTTCAGCGACCATATTGAGGAGGGTGTATTGTTTGAGACCCAGCCGATGTAGGGAACAGAAAACAAGCAGCAATCAGTAACAGGGATCCTGGGGACTCCCTGCCATTGTGTTGCCATGGAGACAGCCACAAAAGCATGGAAAGAGGGAGGGCCAGATGTAGACCCAGCGAGAGGTTGGAACACACTGGAGAGAGGAGCCTGGGCTGAAGAACACAGAGCTCTTGTCGCTATCCTGTCAGCTTGCATGTTGCCATGGAAACAGAAAACTCTGAGCACAGGTCTCCTCCTCTCCAACAGTGTGGTCTGCCGCCCAATGGGTCTGAAAGTGCCAGCAGGCAGAGTGTAAGGTCCCCTCCTCTCTCTGTCCCTGCAGGCAGAACTCCTGCTGACCCCACTCTCTGACATGTCAGTTAGGACATTTACTACCTCTGGGCGCATAGAAGGGTGGAGAGGATGCTCCGGAGAGAATGGAAACAAACAGGTTACAGGCTACAAACCCAACTGGAGCCAGCGGCAGCAGGTCCTGATGCACAAAGACCGGGAAGTTCTAAAGTTAATGAGCACTGACCCAGGTAACTCAATAGTGACCAGCAGGCCTCAGATGGAGTAACTCCCACCCAGAGGGGGCAGGCGCTGGGGTTAGAGGTCCTGAAAGAAATGGTTACATGTCGCACACGCACAGGCACACGCACAGGCACACATACACACTCAACATTTATCTTTTTATTATATTTTACTATCATATTCTTTTATTAATTTTTATTTTGTCTTGGCTCTTAACACTACAATTGCTGGACTCAATGATATTAAAATGGTTGAATTGCTACATAAAAAACTGGAAATGCCGGGTGGGCGGTGGTGGCGCACGCCTTTAATCCCAGCACTTGGGAGGCAGAGGCAGGTGGATTTCTGAGTTTGAGGCCAGCCTGGTCTACAGAGTGAGTTCCAGGACAGCCAGGGCTGCACAGAGAAACCCTGTCTCGAAAAGCAAAATAAACAAACAGATAAGTGGAGGCTGGAGAGATGGCTCAGCAGTATGAGAGCTGAGAGCTGTCTCAGAGGGCCCAAGTGTGGTTCCCAGCGCCCACACGGTGGCTCGTAAGCACCCGTACCTCCAGTTCCAGACAAGCCAGTCTTCTTCTGACCTTCTTAGGCTTCTGCG